CAAAAATAAAGTTGTATTCATTGAACACATTAGTACTGAGTTGATGTTAGCAGATCCCTTGACTAAAGGCATGCCACCATTTAAGTTCAAGGATCTGATTCAAAAAATGGGATTTTCGCCCAATTTGTAATTTGTATATATACATTCAGTTTCAATAAAATTCTTTGGCATTCAGACATTTTCTCAATTAAGTGTGTACACCTTCATTTGCTTTATATTGATGAGAAAATGTACTTCAGGGACTTGGAATAAACATAGGGTTTATTTTGTTGGGTTTTGTTTCCTAATTAAGTGCTCAATGGTAGTTTGCATTTGATCATAATGGATACTACTCGTGCTAATGAGAACATATCATTATGGTTGGTGTTTTTTTTGTTATTGAGTGGTAGTGCTTGCACCAAGTGGGAGAATGTAACGTTTATCCGTTACTATTATTAAAACATTAGGATAAGTTATGATAATATTCAGTATTTGATATATGGTGCAACACTAATAACCTAATAGCTAGACTACCATTATGATTAGGAGTCTGGTTAGGGTTTAGAAGACCTAAACACAATCAACCACAATGATGGCCAGTGGTTATATAAGGTCACTAGACCTTTCACTGCTCACATTACATACCTCATACACCATCTAGAGATAGCTGAGTAAAGTGAGAGACAAAATACTCGTTATCTCTGCAGCAGTCCGGATCCCTCAACCGTGTCAAGAACTATGGCTGGAGGTTAGTCGGTCCTGTATCACACAGTAATATGCATGTGATATATATTTAGTCTAACACGAGAAACTTAACCTCATAGTAGCGGTAACGGAAACAATGTTGATCTCCAGCTATAGTTAATGTCTTGTTGTGTTGCTTTTTGAACAATAGACTAACCGTCAACCATTTGTCCAATACTTGACTCAGAACTACATATGATGTATAGGTATCTACTGAGTAGCATGAGTACTGTAAACTGAAGGTGCTATATATATAACGAATATCCTATACCCCATCAATCCATATTTATATTAGGCACATAGTCTAATTGACTAACCTCTTCTAGTTATTCAGTCTAACAAAACTAGTTAGTAAGCCTAGTCAACTTGCACCATTTAATTAAGGCCATATATATATATATATATATATATATATATATATATGTATATATATATATGGGAAAATCTTACATTCCCCCACTTGGTGCAAGTACTAGCACAACCCTCATCAAAGAACAAAACACATGAATCATAGTGACATGTCCTCTATGACTAGAGACGCCTAGCGCCGCCTAGGCCAATTTTTACAACATTGATTGTATAACAATATAATTATATAAATAATGAATAAAGTTGCTAACCATCGACTTATGCCAATCAACTAACTTACGTAGCTGGAACTTGACACACCGTTATTTTTTCTCCACCCACTCCCACTCTACGGATACAGATATCCATTTATTATCTTATTAGAAATCTTCAAATAATAATAACAATAATAATAAAAATAATAAAATTATTACACATAATAAAATCATAAAATAATAAATATATAATTTGGATCAAATAAGAACTTGGACATAGAAGAAAACTAGGAACCAATCAGAGTTGTCCATTTATATTAGAAAGTTCTAACGACTTTAAAACAGGGAGAGAGGAAACATCGATTCGTAAATGGCTTGAACTTTAAGTGAAAGTTACAACACTATAGATTGCACTTAGCAACATCATAGAGTGCATCATGTGATGCGTATAGCTGTAGTGAAGTTGTCTACCTTTTCACAATTCATGGTTTACGGCTCGTTTGGTTCACGAAAAATATTTTAAGGGAAGTGAAATTGGAATTCCATGGAAAAACAATTAATAGGAAGATGAATTTCATTGTTTGGTTGGTGGAAAAAGAATTACTGGGAATACTAATTCTATTTTTTGGTTAGATTAGGAATTGTAAGGAACAATGAGTATAAAGACCTATATGCCCCTACAAATTAATAAAAGTAATATAATTAAAAAAAGAAAGTAAGGGTAAAATAGGCAATCTATTTACTTTTTCTTCCCATCTTCCATGGAAAACAAAATCCTTGGTCCAACCAAGGATTTTGTTTTCCTCAAATTTGAGGAATTCATTTTCCAATGGAAAATGGATTCCATGAACCAAACACTAGAAAACAACATTTTCCTTCACTTTAAGGAAAATGTTTTCTTTTGGAAAATATTTTCCATGAACCAAACATCCCCTTAGTGTTTTTTGTTTGTTTTATGGTTAGTTTTTTTTTTTCTTTTTTTTTTTTAAATTTTTTTTTTTTAATTTGGTTTAGAAGTTCAGTTTAGAGTTTAATAGTTATAGTTTGCCTTTACAGTGCACCTAGCTAATAAAAATATAAAGTACACTCATCAATATTATAAGGTGTACCTAATGTTATTATTAATTGCACCGAATGTAAAAGTTAATTACAGTGAGGATTCACCTTTTAAAGTTTATTGTTTAGTTTTTTCTATTTGTTTAAGGATTTAAGGATTAACTTTTTACTATTTAAGAGTTTAAATTTTATGACTTGAACATAGTGTTGATTCCCAAGAAGAGAACACCAGAGAAGGTTACGGACCTTCGTCCGATAGCCCTGTGCAATGTTGCCTACAAGGTAATTGCGAAAGTGTTGGCAAATAGACTAAACGGGGTGCTGGACCTGGTGGTCTCGGCCTCTCAGAGTGCCTTTGTTCCCGATAGGCTACTAACAGATAACGTTATTGTAGCCAGGGAGGTGGGTCATTTTCTGCGACGCAAGACTCACGGAAATATGGGTTGGGCGGCCCTTAAACTCGACATGGCCAAGGCGTTTGACCGAATGGAGTGGCACTATCTTGAAGGAATGTTGCAAGCTCTGGGTTTTGAGCGTCGTTGGGTTGATTTGCTTTTACATTCTGTCTCAACTGTCAGGTACTCTGTTCAGGTCAATGGGGAAGGAGTGGGGACGATGTGTCCTACCCGAGGCATCCGCCAAGGCGACCCGCTCTCCCCGTACCTCTTTATAATTTGCGCGGAAGGCCTGTCCGTTTTGCTACAACAGGCGGAGGCGTGTGGTGCCATTCATGGGGTACGAATTGCACGAGGGGCTCCGGCGATAACACATTTATTTTTCGCGGACGATAGCCTTCTGTTCATCCGGGCTACTCAGGCTGAAGCACAATCTATTAAAGGGTGCCTAGACCAGTACAGCACAGCGTCGGGACAGCTGATTAACTATGATAAATCCAGCGCTATGTTTAGCGCGAACACGGGAACTAAGGTGAGAACTATGGTTACTGATTGCATGGGTGTGAGTGAGACGAATGATTTCGGTCGGTACTTGGGACTACCGTCGGTGCTAAGCCGAAACAAGTCGGCCACATTTCGTTTTATCGAGGATAAGGTCCGAGAAAGACTGGGATCATGGCAACAACGGCTATTATCTAAAGCAGGTAAAGAAGTACTGATTAAGAGTGTTGCCCAGGCTCTTCCCATATTTACTATGTCCGTTTTTTTGCTTCCAGCCAGACTGTGTGATAGAATTGAAAAAATGTTCAACCGTTATTGGTGGGGGGGGGGGGGGGGGTGGCAAATCTAATAGTCGAGGAGTGCATTGGATGAGTTGGTCCCGCATGACTATACCGAAATGCCAAGGTGGTTTGGGCTTCAAGAGAATACATGATTTCAACATTGCTCTTCTGGCCAAGCAAGGATGGCGGATTTTTACCACACCTCAGTCTTTGGTTAGCAGATTGCTTAAAGCGAAGTATTTCCCAACATGCAGCTTTATTGACGCGGTCATTGGACATAATCCAAGTTATATGTGGCAGAGCATTCTAGCAGGACAGGATGTTTTGCGTAAGGGTTTAGCACGCCGCATCGGAGACGGCAAGGAGACGAAGATTTGGAGTTGGCCGTGGTTGGCCGATGTTGCCAATCTAGTCCTCAGTACTGCCCCGGTGAGTCCTTTACGCGACGCGTTGGTGAATGGCCTGATGGATGGTCGTGGGCATTGGGACGCCGAGGTGCTCCGAGACATTTTCGATGAATCAGATGTCCGGAGAATTTTGCGTACTCCCATAGCGGCTCATCTGAATGACACTTGGCGGTGGATGGGCGACATTAGTGGCATGTATGCGGTAAAACACGGGTACGGGCTCTTAACGGCTGGTGCGGCTGCGTCAGTGAATAGTGAGGGCTTCGAAGCGTGGGAGAAACTATGGAAACTTCCAGTTTCGCCGAAAGTTCGTCATTTGCTGTGGCGTTGTGTTCGTGGAATTTTGTCGGTCCATGAGAATCTTAAGGCGAAGCATATCTGGATAGGGGGAGGTTGCCCGCTTTGCGGTCAACATGCCGAAACCACTGAGCATCTATTGGGGGAGTGCTGGTTTGCTAAACAAGCTTGGAGGAACGATGATGTGCTTCAAGGATTGTCCATGCCAGTTTTCATTGAATCAAGGCTGGCAGCTCACCATCCGGAGGCAGCAGTTCGCATGGCAGCCACCATTTGGTTGCTCTGGACTGCGCGTAACGATAGAGTGTGGCACAGAAAGATGTGGACGGTGGAGGAGTTACGCATTCGTATTTCAGTACTGATTAGCACCTGGAACGAGAGCTACAAACTGTCATCGGTTAGCAGGGTCGAGAATGTGCTTTGGGAATGGCCTGCGATCCAATGGGTGAAATGTAATATGGATGCCGCATTGTTGGCTACGGGTGTGACCTTCGGGGCGGCAATACGAGACCACGAGGGTCATTTTCTGGCAGCAAAGAATGGTTGGTTAATGAGCGATCGTGATCCCCTGATGGCGGAAGCATATGCGGCCAAGGAGGCGTTTATTTGGATTCGTGATCTAGGACTTAATCGTGTGATCCTGGAGTCGGATTGCTTAATTTTTTGTAATGCTTTTAATTCCTGTAATTTGAATTTGTCGTATGTAGGTCTTGTTGTGAAACAATGTTTACAAATTGCTAGAGACATTGGGGACGTTGTGGTCTACCATGTCAAGAGATCAGCGAATCAGGTGGCCCACGTGTTGGCACGGGCAACTGATTCTTCGTCTGGCTCGAGGTCTTGGTCTGTTGTACCTCCTAATTGTATTTCCAATCTTCTGAATTAGTAATGAAGTTTTCTTTTGGTTTCAAAAAAACAGTTTAAATTTTATTATTATTTTTAGTAAACTCTAATCTAATTGTAATTTTACTTACTTGCGCTCTATAATGTTATTAATTGTACTTTAAAGTTTGAGTTATTTATAAAAAAAATAGTCACCATATTTTTTTCTCCATAATTGCTTATGATCCATTAAATTTTATTTAGATGAACAACTCTAATTGGTTCATTATTTTCTCCAATTCTCATAAGATTGTGCTCCTATATAGTTGTCATGGGTTCGACCTATGTCTTAGGGCAAATTATTGTGTGGACCATGGTCCACACAATGTTATGTGGACCATAACAAAAAGTACATTTTTAATATACTAAATTTACATTATTTTTATACTGAATGTACATTATACAATATAATGTACACTCAGAAGAAAAATAATATACATCTCCTGAATACAATGTACATTATTTTTGTACTGAATGTACATTATTTTACAGTAGACAAAATATGATCCACACAACTTGTGTGGACCATGATTGATGTCCTAGACTCAATTCACTCTAAGATCCCTATTCTTTGGCCCAATTATTCTTGGGCCCTGACCTATGGTTCCATCATTACACATTGCAATTGTTTTTTATTGAAGAATTGATAAAAAAGTGGAGTAATGTGAAAATGAAATAGTAGTTCTAGGACTAAAAAGAGTTTTTGTTTTTAATAAAACAAAAGTGAATAATTATTATGCATTGCCTATCACCTATACAAATATAATAGGGCGTTTAGTGACTAGGAAAATTCAATCTTTCTTTTAAATTTAAAAGGTCAGAAAATATTCCAACGTTTGGCGAAGCTTTGACTTGCGAAATTAAAGTTCGGGCGAACTAGGAATCAGAATTTTTTTTTTTTTTTTTTTTTAAATACTCATATTTTTTTATAAAAGTAGTATCTTGCGACCACCATTTAGAATGGTAATGTAACACCCCATGTTTTTAGCCTCAAATCCGAATTAATTATTTAATTAATTCCGTTAGGAGTAGTGAAAACAAAAGGATTTAATTCGGTCCGGGATCCCTTAATTAATTGATATGGTCCATGATGGACCGTTGACCCTTGTCTATATTAAAGTCTTAAGCCTGTTAGAATAAAGAAGGAGGGCCCCTTTATTAATCAGATTCTAATTGGGAATTCTAAACCTATTTAAAGGGAATTAGAAAGCATGTAAAACCCCTTTCCCCCTCTCTCTCATTCGAGATCCCTCCCTAGATCTAGCCAAAAGAATCTCCACCCTCTCCCGCTATTGAAAGCTATCAAGTTAGGAACTTTCCCATCACCAGGCTGAGAAGAGGTAAGTAATGGAAGGTTATAGTTTTATGTTTTGGGTTATAGATTCCATCTAAGTTTCCCCTCTTTGTGTTTGGCGGGTTTTGATGATATAATGAAGATCAATTGGAAGAAAATCTTGTAGAAGAACCTTGGGGAGTTTGTTTAGGCTAAAAGGTAACACATGTCTTACAAAACCTATTTTCCTTACTATCTTTTGATTTATTGACTCCTTTGAATGATTGAATGTGTGATCTTGTGTTTATGCCTTGATAGAGCTTGTCTTTAGGGTTTATGTGATGGTTTATTGATAATCATGAGGTTCTTGAACAATTATATGTTTATTCTTGCATCTTGGCATGTTTAGAGCTTGTGTTTGGAGTTCAATTGTGTTATTCTTGGGTGTATTCTTGGTGTTCAAGTCCATATTTTTGTTGATGTGTGTTTGGACTTGATTTTGGACGAAATTGATGAATTCCTGAAGGGGGAATCATGCCATGGAATAATGTTCCAGCGGGTGGTTGGTGGGGAAACGAACCCCCACCCGACCACCCGCCAGAACGGCGGTACGTTCCACCGGGTTGCCGGTGGGTGGACAGCTACCCGCCAGACCACCCGCTGGAACGGGCAGCCCGCCGGCGGGCAGTCCAGCCGGTGGTTGTCCACCCGCCGTACCACCCGCTGGTACGGGCGGTGTGGTGTGTTGTTGATCCCCGTTGGTCGTTTTCCCGTACCCCGTTGTGTCTCGTTTGATGTTTGTAAGTCTAGTTTGATGTCTTGAGTACCGTAATAAGATTTCCGAGTCTTGTTAATGCATGTGGTCTAAACCCGTATCCCGTTGGTTTAAAGTAAGAATTGTAATGTCCCCTATGAGTCTTGTGGTTGTCTTGTTGTCATTGTAAGTAATGTCTAAGTTGTTCCCCAAGAGTGTAACAACCCAAAATAGCTTTTTCACTCCATTCAAAAATTTTACAATCAATCGGTGTTTGAATAAAATAGTTTCGTCGAATTTTAAATTAATTCGACACCAAAAATGGATTCTATTAGAAAATTTATAAGTTTTCGGGTACTTCGCGCACCAAGATTTAAATCGAGAATTTTATCTGAGTGAGATCGTGAGAATTCAAAAAAGGATTTAAAACAAGTGTTCATCCAAATAGCTTTTGAGAAAATTCACTTTCAACCCCAAAGTATTTAAAGATAGCATTTATAGCCTATGATTCACGTTCCATGGTGGACCACAAGACATCCAAAAATCTCTTCATGATTCATCTTTTAGCTTATGGGATTACTCCTTTGCCCTCAACCAATCATTGTGAATCATCCAAGGGTTTTGAACCCTTATAAATAGAATAGTGTTGGCATCATCTTCTCCTGATCTCTTCCTTGGCTGCCAACACCATAGCAGTAAGTTTTCTTCCTTCTCTAAGTTTCTCTGCAACATCATCTCTTCTTAAGGTTTAAGACTTAGGCCTTGAGTGGTTGTTTGAGATGTTTAGGTGGTGTAAGAAGTAGAGATCCTTGAGTGAGGTGGGGCTGAAATCAAAGCAAGAAGAAGAGACTACATGAGGTATAACCCCATGGATTCCTCTTTAAATTTAGCTCTGTGAAGCCTTAATTATGAGTAGAAATGAGTAGAAACTATGAGTTTTTGATGTGTTCAAGCTTAGAAGTGATTTAGTATTTGTTTTAGAGTTGTTGAGATTGTTTTGAACTTGTTTGGAATAGTTTTTGCAGGTGAAACACCATCTGGTGCACAACACAGTGTGCACCAGATCATAGGGACGGCCCTAGCAGCGGTCCATCAGGAGGGCCGCCGGCTAGATCCGTAGTGGCACGGGACTAGGGCACGGCACTAGAGGAGGGTCGTTGCCTAGTCCCGGTGTTTTAACGGGGCTCATGGGGCGGACCATGAGGAGTCCCGCCCCAGGTCCCTGAGTTTGTTCTGAGAAGGATTTTGTGCAGTGGCCGGGCCCTTGTTGCTCACCTACATGTCGTTTCGGACTGAGTGTTACGGCCCCTTGTGGCTCGGCTCTTCGGGATGGTCTCGACGCACGTTTTGGCTTTGACTTCGTTGAATTTGGATAAAAAACGAGTATGTTATGAAGGAATTTGTGAAAAATTTCTACACAGAGTATATATATGTGCTTAGTTCACTATGTATGAGAAATATTTGGTTATGTAATCAGATAATGTTTTTTTTGAGTATAGAAACATGATTCTTTGAGAATATGATTTATTATGAAGGCATGATTAAATTGTGTTATTTGATCAATGAGAATAGAAGCATATTTGTTGAGTGAAATGTTTAGAAATTGCTATGTTGCAAACCAAGCATGATGATATATTCTTGAATACTTCATGTTAGTTTATACATGATTTAGAAGTATATTATAGAGAATTTTGACATTTCACATGTGTCGTATTTCAAAAAATGCATAAGGGGCCAACGTGAGAGAATACTTTCAAGAAACCATAAGCATGTGGTATATCATTCTTTGATGCATTGAGTAGTAGTAGAGTTATTGCATGCATGAGATTGATGCATGGGAGATATATTTATGTATTATCTATATCGGTGAGGTTTTGGATGATACCGTTTGGACTATGTCCTCTCGGGAGATATTTATGGACATTGCTGTCCCAGTATATGTAACGCGGTGTATTCCCACGTTACGAGGTTGAAAACTTCCCGCCAGGCTTGGAATCCGGGTTTGGGGGTGTGCACACTAATTGTTCGATACCTGATTCCACAGAGTTTGAACCACGAAATTGGTTCCGTAGGCAGTAGGAGATATTGGGTCGGAATTATGCCGTTCCCAATGGGTTAATTCACACTTCTGTGAAACCCTAAGCCGTCTACGAGTATAAGAGAAAGAAAGAGAGTCATCAGAGACTCAAGAAAGAGAGTCAATAAAGACTCAAGAGAAAGAAAGAGAGTCAAGATAGACTCAAGAAAGTAAGAATGAGACCTCCACAGAAAGTACTCTATTTTATGAAAGAGTGTATGAGTATGAGTATATTATTGCACTAGATTGCATAAGAGTATGATTATATTGTTGCACGAGATTGCATATGAGTATGAGTATATTATTGCACTAGATTGCATAAGAGCATGATTATATTGTTGCACGAGATTGCATAAGAGTATGAGTATATTATTGCACTAGATTGCATAAGAGTATGATTATATTGTTGCACGAGATTGCATATGAATAGGAGTATATTATTGCACTAGATTGCATAAGAGTATGATTATAATGATGCACGAGATTGCATATGAGCATGAGTATATTATTGCACTAGATTTCATAAGAGTATGATTATATTGTTGCATGAGTTTGCATATGAGTATGAGTATATAATTGCACGAGATTACATATGAGAATGTATATAATTGATAGGCGTATTTTACACTCATATTTTAGGCACATCTTTATAATAATTTTGCATTAATTATTTACTATTATTTAATAATTATTTCCTTTTGGAGTTTAATAATTAATGAGCAAAATAAATATTTTATCTAGTTAATTATGTGTTTTGAGATAATTATGTGTTTTGAGCCTAACAAGTTTTTAATCCAATTCTTAATTTTATTTTAATCTTAAGCCATAACATCATGGCCCAAACTATGACAAAACAAATAAAACAATTGTGTTTTGCATTGTTTTCTCCCTAAGCAGGTCACGTACAAAATTAGTGAAGGACTCCATCAACTTGCAGCGCAATTTACACGGAAATGTTGACCGATTATTCCGGAAGAATTTGTGGCTCACGCAAAAATAGAAAATAGGTGGTGGGAAATAACTTTAGTTCATTTTGAGAATTGTATAAATAGTAGAACATTTCATTTGTTAAAACGTTCATTCTTCCCCTCTCGATTATTCTGTAAAGTTATCAATATCCATTCATTGCTAATTTCTTTAGCTTGGTTTAGTGAATTGAAGCCCCGGAATTGATTATGATGTAAGATTATTTATTTATTTTTATTATATAATTTTTATGCATTTGGGTATTAAATATTCTTCTAAGTTATTTGAATAGTTGTATCATTTAATTGCTAGGGAGGCCAACTAGTTATTTATTTGATATAATTATTTGCTATATTAGATAATGTTGTGCTACAAATTATTCTAATATTCAGTAGCAACTGAGGTTAATTATTGACGGGTTAGTGATAATTGGTCTCGGGTAGAATATTTTCCTAAATTAAATGCAACCGCTTGTGCTTGTGTTATTTAGTTTGTCGGTTTTCCTTGTTTCTATTGCTGCTATTAAATTATATCTATAGCGCTTATCTTAGATTATTTAGTAGTTAGGAGTAATTAAACCGCTTGTGCTTTATTTACCTACAACTAAGGGAAAACAGAAATGAAATAATTTCACGACAAATATTCAATTGCATATTAATTACTTTATTAATCAATGATCAGTGTTAAATTCCGGTGCTGGATCTTTACTAACCAAGGTTTCTTATTATAAGTGTTTCCGATATATAATTGCTTTATTCGTTCATTTGAATTTCTTGTCTATTTAAATTCTCTTTTATTTTATCTTTATTCTCGATATATTCGAAACCCCCCTTCCTTTAATTTGAGCACAAAAGTTAAACTAGTTACTCCTCGTGGGATCGATCCTTACTCCCGCTACTACGTTTGTAAGGTTTTAATTTGGGAGCCTACGACAGCTCACCAAATTTTGGCGCCGTTGCTGGGGAGATTTTCTAGCTTATTTTGTGTTTGTTTATTTAATTAATTATTTATTTTGTTATTTGTTTATTTGTTTTTCATTTGTCCCAAAAAAAAAATCTTTTCTTTCGTTACTTTACATAATTGCTGCACTATCTTTAACGGTTTATGCTATAACTCGATCTGCTAACAAAGAAGTCTTGCCATACAATCCAGAAATTGAAAGAACTGTACGCAGGTGGAGGAAACAAGCTTTGAGGAAATTAGAGTTTAGTGATCTGGCTACCGATTCTGCCAACTCTGATTTAGAAGAGGACTCATGGCTCAAAATCGGACCTTAAAAGAGCTTGGAGCTCCGAATTTAGATCAACAACCATTATGCATCACTTTCCCTACTCTGGATGCTAATGTACAATTCGAACTGAAATCTGGATTAATTCATCTTTTGCCTTCTTTTCATGGACTTGCAGGTGAAGACCCTCACAAGCACTTGAAGGAATTTCATGTGGTGTGTTCAAGTATGAAACCCACAGGGGTTACTGAAGAACAAATCAAGTTGAGAGCCTTCCCGTTTTCTTTGAAAGATTCAGCGAAGGATTGGCTATATTATTTACCTTCCAGAAGCATCACCACATGGAATAACTTAAAGACACTATTCCTTGAAAAATATTTCCCAGCTTCAAGGGCGGCCAACATTAGAAAGGAAATCTGTGGTATAAGGCAAAACAATGGAGAGTCATTATATGAATATTGGGAACGTTTCAAAAAGCTTTGTGCAAGCTGCCCACACCATCAAATTAGTGAGCAATTACTCATTCAATACTTTTATGAAGGACTCTTTCCAATGGATAGAAGCATGATTGATGCCGCAAGCAGTGGTGCTTTAGTTGACAAGACACCGGACACTGCAAGAAATTTAATTGTAAACATGGCTGCAAATTCTCAACAGTTCGGCAATAGACTTGCCCAACCGTCTAAGCAAGTGAATGAGGTAAATATTTCTGCTCTTGAACAACAAATTTCTGGTTTAACTACTCTTGTTCGTCAATTAGCAGTAGGCAATATGCAAACCGTAAGAGCATGTAGAATTTGCTCGGTAGTTGGGCACCAAACTGATGCCTGCCCAACTCTTCAAGAAGAACCTATTGAACAAGTCAACATGGCTGGAGGTTTTCCTGGACAACCTCAAGGTAAGTATGATCCGTTCTCTAATACATATAATCCTGGATGGAGGGATCACCCAAACCTTAGCTATGGGAACTCACAAGGGAACCGGTTTGTTCAGAATCGTTCCAATTTTCAGCAGTACAGACAACCATTTCCTTCAAGACAATAGCCGGTCCAAAGCTGTAGCTCAGGTATGAATCTAGAAGATATTGTTAAATCTCTTGCTACTAACACTTTGCAGTTTCAACAAGAAACACAACTATTCCAACAAGAGACAAGAGCTAGTATTCAAGAAACAAAGGCTAGTATTCAAAACTTGGAAAGACAAATGGGCCAACTAGCACCTACGGTAAGTCGGTTGGAAGCACAGAGTTCTAGCAAATTACCCTCTCAAACGGTTGTTAATCCTAAAGAGAATGTAAGTGCAATTAATGTTGAAAGTATGTCGCTGGAAAAGAATGTTGATTTAAACAAGGAAATAAGTGCAGGAATCATTGCCAACAATAAAGAGAAGTCCCAAGGTAAGCTTTCATCTTTTTCTGATTATGAACCAGTACCCCCATTTCTTCAAGCTCTTTTAGAACCAATAAGAGGAAACTCAAATAATGATCTGTATGAGACCTTTCGTGAATGTGATGCTAATAAACCACTTTTAGATTCTATGGAAAAAGTACCTCGCTATGCAAATTTTCTAAAAGAGGTACGCACTATGAAAAAGAAACGAAAGAATGAAAGAATTGAGGAAGTGAAAGTGCAAGAGAATGTCTCTATGGCTAGTCAAAGCAATCTTCCTGAAAAGTGCAAAGACCCAGGTATGTTTACTATTCCATGCATGATAAGTGGGATGAAATTTGAAAATGCTATGTTAGATTTAGGAGCTTCTATTAATGTCATGCCATATTCTGTTTATGCTTCTTTAAATCTTGGACCCCTGAATAAATCTAGTATAATAATTCAATTGGCTGATGGATCTACTACATATCCTAGGGGTGTGATTGAGGATTTGATTGTTGAAGTTAATAACTTGGTTTTTCCTGCTGATTTTTATGTGCTTGATATGGAAAATAATAATCATATTTTGTTAGGAAGGGCATTCTTAAAAACTGCAAAAACAAAAATTGATATTCATAGTGGTATGCTTACTATGGAGTCTAATGGTAAACTTGTGACTTTTAATATTTATGATACCATGAAATCTCCTAGTGATAATAATTTTGCAATTTTTGTTGATTCTTTGATGTTTGTTAAATTTGTTGAAATTGCGTCTAATGAAAGAAAAGAAGGAAAAAATAATAATTCATCTTTGAGTACTAATCTGCATGAAGGGACTGTTTCTTTGAATATTCATAATCATCGAAGGTACTCAAAAAGACGATGGAAATTTAAAGAAATATCATAAGTCGAGCCAACGACGATAAACAAAGGCGCTGCTTGGGAGGCAACCTAAGGTGTATTTGTTCCATTCTTTTTCTTTTATTCCCGTTTCTCATTCAATAACCCTTTTTCTGTGCTTTTTTTTTGTTCAACATTGGGGACAATGTTAATAATAAGTGTGGGGGAGGGAATTTAGTTTTATTATTTGTTTGCATGTCAAAATTTTCAAAAATTTTCACAAATATTTTACTAGTATTTTATGCAAAATAAGTATTATTTTGGAAAAAATTATTTTATTTTTCCTTTATTGGAATTCATAACATGATTGAATAAATAGTTTGGCAAATTATGACTAGTTTGTTAGCATTTCTTGTTTGATATGTAGTGGCTATATTAAGTAAGCAATAAACCTGGGAGTGTTTTGAGCCATTGACTGACATTTCGGTCTTATTTTCTTTCTATTGTGCGATTTCTTCCATAATTTTGTTTCTCTAGAACTTGCCTTGATTCTCTTTTAAAGCTAATTAGACCATGCATGATTCACGTGTGATTAAGGCCATTATTTGATCTTGAGCCTCACTAGCCAAATAACCGGTTTGTCCTATGATTTATTTCCCCTTGTTAACCACTTTGAGCTTTATGGCCATTCTTTTCTTATTTTGAACCACATTACAAGCCTTTTATATCTAAAAATAATGCCTTCACCCAGCTGAATAACTAGTGGAGCAAATTTTGAATTATTCGTGTAATCTATGTGAGGTTGTGAGGAAGAAGTGTGGGGGAGGTCACTTTCTTGTGTTAATATGATGGAGAATGAGGTGGGTTGTATCTTCATTGCCGTTTTGTCACTGGTCTTCTATGAAAAAGAAAACGAAGACAATTCATGATTCCAAAAAAATATGGAAATTGAAAAAATGAAAAAAATGGAAAAATGGAGAATATATGTTTGAAAAAGAAAAATATTGCTGAAATAAATGAGAAAGAATCAGCAATTGATTTTGAGTTGAAGTTACTTCTAAATAAATGAAGTAAAGGGAAATTCTGGTACTACTGAGGAAGTGTTCTATACTTTCGAGAATGATACTCATGTTGGAGCCTCACTAGGAATGTTTTTGAATGGAAAATGAAGATGTTGGATTCTGTGTATTTATTTGCTCTTCTAGTTTGAAGGTTTTGTTTAAGCTACTTTCCTAAAATAGTCCCTACCTTAACCCTAGCCCCATTACAACCTATGGAAAGCCCTTATGATTTGTGTCATGCATGGCTCTTGTAGTGGTGATTGAGAATATATGCAAGCCTATGGTAGAGCAATTTTATAGGAATGAACTTGAGCGAAATCTATACCCATCAAACACTTGATTTGAGTGATGAGTGATATTCCGGTGAGGGCTTACTTATTTAGTTTTCTTCATTTTCAAATAGGAATGCTAACTTATTAATTGCAGGGTGCTTCAGATTGTTGTTCATGATATGTTATGAGTTTTAGAGAATTTCTTTTTAATTTAATTACTTCGCAAATAATATTTTTTCTTGGGGACAAGCAAACGTTTTAGTGTGGGGGAATTTGATAGGCATATTTTACACTCATATTTTAGGCACATCTTTATAATAATTTTGCATTAATTATTTACTATTATTTAATAATTATTTCCTTTTGGAGTTTAATAATTAATGAGCAAAATAAATATTTTATCTAGTTAATTATGTGTTTTGAGTTAATTATGTGTTTTGAGCCTAACAAGTTTTTAATCCAATTCTTAATTTTATTTTAATCTTAAGCCATAACATCATGGCGCAAACTATGACAAAACAAATAAAACAATTGTGTTTTGCATTGTTTTCTCCCTAAGCAGGTCACGTACAAAATTTGTGAAGGACTCCATCAACTTGCAGCGCAATTTAGACGGAAATGTTGACAGATTATTCCGGAAGAATTTGTGGCTCACGCAAAAATAGAAAATAGGTGGTGGGAAAACTTTAGTTCATTTTGAGAATTGTATAAATAGTAGAACATTTCATTTGTTAAAACGTTCATTCTTCCCCTCTTGATTATTCTGTAAAGTTATCAATGTCCATTCATTGCTAATTTCTTTAGCTTGGTTTAGTGAATTGAAGCCCCGGAATTGATTATGCTGTAAGATTATTTATTTATTTTTATTATATAATTTTTATGCATTTGGGTATTAAATATTCTTCTAAGTTTTTTTTTTTTTTTGACTAAATATTCTTCTAAGTTATTTGAATAGTTGTATCATTTAATTGCTAGGGAGCCCTACTAGTTATTTATTTGATATAATTATTTGCTATATTAGATAATGTTGTGCTGCAAATTATTCTAATATTCAGTAGCAACTGAGGTTAATTATTGACGGCTTAGTGATAATTGGTCTCGGGTAGAATATTTTCCTAAATTAAATGCAACCGCTTGTGCTTGTGTTATTTAGTTTGTCGGTTTTCCTAGTTCCTATTGCTGCTATTAAATTAAATCTATAGCGCTTGTCTTAGATTATTTAGTAGTTAGGAGTAATTAAACCGCTTGTGCTTTATTTACCTACAACTAAGGGAAAACAGAAATGAAATAATTTCCCGAAAAATATTCAATTGCATATTAATTACTTTATTAATCAATGATCAGTGTTAAATTCCGGTGGTGGATCTTTACTAACCAAGGTTTCTTATTATAAGTGTTTCCGATATATAATTGCTTTATTCGTTCATTTGAATTTCTTGTCTATTTAAATTCTCTTTTATTTTATCTTTATTCTCGATATATTCCAAACCCCCCTTCCTTTAATTTGAGCACAAAAGTTAAACTAGTTACTCCTCGTGGGATCGATCCTTACTCCCGCTACTACATTTGTAAGGTTTTAATTTGGGAGCCTACGACAGCTCACCAATAGTATTGGATGAGATTGCATAAGAAGTATGATTATAATGTTATACGTGATTGCATGCGAGTAGAGTATCGTATGAGATTTTATAACGAGAAGTTTGACTTAAGATATTCCTTTGAGCATGATTATCTTGTTGTACTCGAAGCTCTACTTATCAAGTTATGAGATAAGAATGTGCAAGCATGTGAACACCTGTTATATGGTCTTCTAGCATGAACCTATCTCTAAGCATGAATTGCTTGATAAGCTATTTGAGAAGTATATATGATGATGAATCTACGTGATCAGTCTTATACATATATAAGCATGCCAGCTGATATTATAGGGTGCAAGCATCTAGAAAGAATGTGATAAATCTAAAGATGATTTAAGATGAGCTTATTGCTGATAAAGAAATCAAATGCTTTCTAGGTATATGTTAGAATGCTTTACAGGGTTGAGTGTGGTTATACTTAGCCTCGTGCTAACGGGTGTTTTCCTATTTGTCTATGTGTTGCTTGCAAAACCCCTTTCAGGTGGTCCCAGCAGTGTGAAGAAGTCGAGTTAGATTAGTCTCGTAGATAGAGATATCTAAACTCTGGTTTGACTAATGTTATGTATGGATTTTAGACTTTTGATTTTATGTTTGAGGATGATGTAGACTTTTGGGGTGACGTATTTCCCCCTTATGTTTTTAGTTTTATGTTGGATACCCGACTTTTACTTTATTTCTAGTTTCACCCCTTTCCTTGTGCAATCACCTCGGAGTGGTGGTTGTGGCGGTGACACTCCCACTAGTTATCTTTTAAGTTTATTTCCGCTGCTTAGTGATGTTAATGACTGTTTAGAGTTATAATTAATAGTTAGAAAGTGGGGTGTTACAAATTGGTATCAGAGCGGTACGAACCGCCGGAGACTTAGGAAGTTTGACCCTTAAGATTGAGTATAGAAACTCTATCTGAGAGTCCTAGGATGGACAAGTTAAGGAAAGACCTTTAAGTTGAAGTCTTAAGAAAGACAAGATATGAAGAGAACATTAAGTGGACATCCTAAGAAGGATAAGAATAGGGAAAGAGCCCTAAATTATGAAAATTTGTGATAAGAAGGAGCCCTAAGTTATGAAAATTGAGATGAGAAAGACTCTATACTCAGTGATTGATTATGAGAATCAGTGTTAAGAGAAACTCTAAGTATCAGTTAGGAACGCGGTGAGGTCGTGAGTTCCTTTGTGTTTGCCTATATGTTTTATGCTTTATCAATGTGTTTAAAGTGCTTGTTTATATCTTTTGAAAGTGAAACAGAGAAGTTTTCAGTATGAAGTTAAAGTGAAAGTTAGAAGTTGAGATTGTGGAAGTTAAAGTTTGAAAGTGAAAGTTTTGTGAAAAGTGCTAATGTAAAAGTATAAGAGTTTATACATGTGCCTTGTTTATATGATTTACCAATGTGCTTGTTATGCCTTTGATAACTGCTTCGAGTAAAGTAGAGAAGTAAAGAGAGTAGTTGAAAGAGAAAAACCAAGAGTTTGAAATTTTAAGCTTAGAAGAGAAATTGTTCTTACTAAGTTGTTAAAGTAGAAGAGATGCCTTTGTTGCTTAGTATGATTTGCTTGTTGCAAGTTTGTCTTAAGCTTGAGAAGTTAGAATTAGCTAATTTATAGTCGTGCTAACAAGAATGATCTGTTCTGGTCATGTTCAAAGAGTTCCGCGATGCCGCCGCGAAGAGTTAGAGAGGAATCTCCTCGCTCCTCAGGACCTGGAGCGTCATCATCCACAGATTTGACTGAGAGTCTGCGCTAGCTCACCCAGTTGACCTAGACCATAGGAGCTGTCGTACTCAGTGGGAATAACGGTGGCAGTGATGCGTCCAGAAAGATCACGGGACGCAATCCACCGTGTTTCTTGGGTCAGGAGGATCCGGAAGTTCTTGAGAGTTGGATCCGCACGTTCGAGTTGTTTGACATGGTAGGATGCCCAGAGGACCAGCGAGTAAAGGCTGCTGTCTACTATCTACAGGGAGTGGCTGACCACTGGTGGGTTATGGAAGGACCGGCTGTTCAGGCAAGAGAAGGGTTTGACTGGGGATGTTCAAGATGGTGTTGAGAGAGAGATTTTACACAGAGCATGTCAAGGCTGCCAAGTATGAGGAATTTTTGCATCTCGAGCAAGGGAGTTTGACCGTTCAGGAGTATCATGCCCGCTTTGTGGCACTGTCTCGATTTGCTCCTACCTTGGTACATGATGAGGCGAGTAGGGCTCGCAAGTTCATTCGAGGATTGCACTATGATGCTCAGAAATCCTTCTCAACAGCGAGATTTGCTACATGAAATGATGCTTATGAGGCAGCTGCTGGTTACTCCAGGATTCAACAGTTACACCGAGATGCCATGCAAGGGATGAAGAAAAAGAATGAAGGGATGGAATCACAAACGAGCAAGGGACACAGGTTCAATCCGACGAGCAGACTTGACCATAGAGGTGGGGAAAGGATGAACATAACTATGAGACAGGGAGCTGGAGCTGGAGGATCACCGAGAGAGGGGACTTCGGTATGCCCGAGATGTGGCAAGGATCATCCTAAGACCACTTGTGGATGATCTCCTATAGTTTGCTTCCGGTGTGGGAAGCCGGGTCATAAAGCCGCTATTTGTCGTTCCCCGAGGACGGAGCGATCCCATGTACGATCCCGAGCCAGCCACCTAGAGGTCCGATTAACTAGGCGCCGAATCAAGCTATGGGACGTGGCTACCCACTGAAGGGAGGTCCACACAGAAATAGGAATCAGGGACAAGGTGAAGCGCAGCAAGGACATACCGGAGAAGCTGGACCAGGGAGGATCATGGTCATGGGACAGACTCAGGCCGGAGATCGCAATCTCGAGAAAGGTAACACTCTAACTTGGAATGAGTGCGTTACTTTTGCTTGGATGCTTAAATAGATGTGCATGCTTGAGAAACTGTTACAAGTTGTTGCAAGGTGCTAAAAGATGTGCTAATCTATGAGTTTTGGGAATTTAAAAGCTAATTGAGTTTGCTTTAGAGAAAAGGTTAGATTTGAATGCTACGAATTAGTGAACAAGAGAATTAGAAGAATGAAAGAAGATATGAGTAAGAATGAAAAATAGTTAGGGAAAGATTAGAGTTCATGTTAAAAGAAGTAATTTTGGAAATAGGGTTCTACTCAAGTTAAGTAAGAATAGAAAGAATCAATCTTCGTTAAGAAAGAATTAGACAAAGATTCGTTCCGAGTTGGTATTAGTTTGAACAAATCCCGAAAGAGGAGTTGGGAAGTCAAAGAATTGACTAAAGGAAGTGAAATGTCTAAAAGTGAAGGACTACACTCAATTTTGACTCGATTTGAAGATTTGACAAAGTCGGAGGACCGATTTCAATATGGGGTCAACCCGGATCCGACCCGGTGGCGGGTCTAAGCCACGGGCCAGAATGGGACCCGTTCCGTGTGACGGAACGTGGTCACGGACCACGTAATGGTCCGTGACCTGGGGGCGGTGTCAGCGTTGCTGACAACGGGCTTTGGCGCGGGCCATTGGGAGGGCCGCTGCCAAGCCCCCACCCCCCTAAACCCTTAAGCTGTTTCTTCCAAAGCTGAGAGACTAGATTCACATCATCTTCTTCTCTTCTTCGCTGCACACTGTCTGAACCTCAACCAAAAACCTATCTCCTCCAAATCAACATCTTTCATCAAGGAAACTTCAAGAGTGTCTTCCCCAGGCCATACTAAGTACGAGAAAAATACTAGTTGGAGCATTCATTGCAATTTCAACAAGATCAAGACAACAAAGTTTGGACCACAATGGTGAAAGGAAAACAACAAGTCGAGGGAACCAGTCAGGAAGCACTTACCTACTCAGTAATCGGAGGTAAAACCTATTTCCCCGAATTCTTTTCTGAAGATTTTAATAGTATTTTGGAGAATCGAGGTTTGTTGGGGAAATTTTTGAGAATCCAAGAGGAAATTTACCCTGATTTAGTGATTGAATTCTATGAGAATTTGTCCACAAAACATAAGAAGGGAGTGACTTCGATTGTCTCTAATGTGAGAGACACGAAAGTAGAATTGACACCACAGAAATTGTCAAATTGGTTTGACTTACCGATGGATGGATTGGATATGTATGATCGAGGAGATTGGGTTGCCCACGCAGGGTTGACACATCAAGAGTATTTGAGATACATGACCGGAGTAGGGAAGAGTTCCCTAAGGAATATCGCCCCGAGAGACCTACTTTGACTGGAGAAAAGAAATTGTTAGTTTTGTTGATAGAAGAGTGCTTGTTTCCGTGTAGGAACAACTCTACAGAGATTGGTAGTTGGACATGTACCATTGCTTTTATGTTGAGATTTGGTCGTGCTATTAATTTTCCAGTTTTGATTCTTAAGCACATGGCTTACTTTAAGGCAAAGAACAGGAAGAATCTGCCCTATGGCATGATGTTAAGTTGGGTTTTCAAAAAGATGAATTTACCTGAGTTGGGAGAAAGGATCCAAACGACTACTAGGTCGGCTCTGAATGCCGTCAATCTGAGATATTACGAGTTGTATCAAGTTGCTAAGAACAAATATTTGACCCAAGCTGACATTGCTATGAAGCCCTTGGATGAGAATATGGCACTTGTGGTTAGTTTGAATGTATCACAAAGAAAGTGGTAGAATGTTGGAATCAAATCAGGACACATAGCTCAGGCTAGTGGAGAAGGGGTTGCAATGGGAACCGATTCGGGAGTTGGCATGATTCATGAAGGAGCACCATTTACAGCTACTCAGCAGAGAGCACCACAGGAGTATACGAGTGGGCCTCAGGGACCTACTTATGAGGATCTTTATGCTATGATCAACAACCGTTTTGACAATTTGAGTTCTCAAGTGAGCTATGGTTTTGCCAGCTCCGATCAAAGGGCAGCAGTCATGGAACAAAAGATGGGGATTGAGAATGTACAGAGATGGACTCCTTATGGTTGGGATCCAAGCTACATGCCACCAGGTGACTCCTCGGGAGGCTTTAATCAAGGTAACTAGTTAAGCCCTTAAGTTCAGTTATAGATTCGTTGGTGCAGTTGTTTAGATTTTAGATAAGATAGATAAGAACTCAGAGATTCCTAAATCTTTCCCAAGTCTTCCAACATAAAATTCCAACCTTTTCATTATATCACCTCTTCTCTTCGAGAACTTGATCCACCCGTTTCTTCTAAGTTTCGGGACGAAACTTCTTTTAAGGGGGATAGAGTGTAACAACCCAAAATTTTATTTTATAAATCCGGTATTAAGAAATCCCAAATGGCTTTTTCACTACATTAAAAATTTTTGCGATCAATCGGTGTTTGAATAAAATAGTTTCGTCGCATTTTAAATTAATTCGACACCAAAAATGGATTCTATTCGAAAACTTCTTAAGTTTTCAGGTACTTCGCGTACCAAGATTTAAATCGAGAATTTTATCTAAGTGAGACCGTGAGAATTCAAAAAAGGATTTTAAACAAGTGTTCATCCAAATAGCTTTTGAGAAAATTCACTTTCAACCCCAAAGTATTTAAAGATAGCATTTCTAGCCTATGGTTCATGTTGCATGGTGGACCACAAGACATCCAAAAATCTCTTTCTGATTAATCTTTTAGCTTATGGAATTACTCCTTTGCCGTCAACCAATCATTGTGAATCATCCAAGGGTTTTGAACCCTTATAAATAAAATAGTGTTGGCATCATCTTCTCCTGATCTCTTCCTTGGCTGCCAACACCATAACAGTAAGTTTTCTTCCTTCTCTAAGTTTCTCTGCAACATCATCTCTTCTTAAGGTTTAATACTTAGGCCTTGTGTGGTTGTTTTGAGATGTTTAGGTGGTGAAAGAAGTAGAGATCCTTGAGTGAGGTGGGGCTGAAATCCAAGCAAGAAGAAGAGACTACAAAAGGTATAACCCCATGGATTCCTCTTTAAATTTGGTTTTGTGAAGCCTTAGTTATGAGTAGAAATGAGTAGAAACGAGTAGAAACTATGAGTTTTTGATGTGTTCATGCTTAGAAGTGATTTAGTATTTGTTTGTGAGTTGTTGAGATTGTTTTGGACTTGTTTGGATTAGTTTTTGCAGGTGAAACACCATCTGGGGCACAACACAGTGTGCACCAGATCAGAGGGACGACCCTAGCCGCGGCCCATCAGGAGGGCCGCCAGCAAGAGCCGTAGTGGCACGGGACTAGGGCACGACCCTAGAGGAGGGCCGTTGCCTAGTCCTGGTGTTTTAACGGGGCTCATGGGGTGGACCATGAGGAGTCCCGCCCCAGGTCCCTAAGTTTGTTCTGAGAAGGATTTTGTGCAGTGGCCGGGCCCTTGTGGCTCACCTACGTGTCGTTTCAGACCGAGTGTTACGACCCATTGTGGCTCGGCTCTTCGGGATCGTCTCGACGCACGTTTTGTCTTTGACTTCGTTGAATTTGGATTAAAAACGAGTATGTTATGAAGGAATTTGTGAAGAATTGCTACACAGAGTATATATATTTGCTTAGTTCACTGTGTATGAGAAATATTTGGTTATGTGATCAGATAATGTTTTTATTGAGTATAGAAGCATGATTCTTTGAGAATATGATTTATTATGAAAGCATGATTAAATTGTGTTATTTGATCAATGAGAATAGAAGCATATTTGTTGAGTGAAATGTTTAGAAATTGCTATGTTGCAAACCAAGCATGATGATATATTCTTGAATACTTCATGTTAGTTTATACATGATTTAGAAGTATATTATAGAGCATTTTGACATTTCACATGTATCGTATTTCAAAAAATGCATAAGGGGCCAACGTGAGCCCAAGAATAATTTCAAGAAACCATAAGCATGTGGTATATCATTCTTTGATGCATTGAGTAGTAGTAGAGTTATTGCATGCATGAGATTGATGCATGAGAGATATATTTATGTATTATCTATATCGATGAGGTTTTGGAGGATTCTGTTTGGACTATGTCCTCTCGGGAGATATTTATGGACATTGCGGTCCCTGTATATGTAACGCGGCGTATTCCCACGTTACGAGGTTGAAAACTTCCCGCCAGGCTTGGAATCCTAGTTATGGGGTGTGCACACTAATAGTTCGATACCTGATTCCACAGAGTTTGAACCACGAGATTGGTTCCGTAGACAGTAGGAGATATTGGGTCGGAATTATGTCGTTCCCAATGGGGTAATTCACACTTCTGTGAAACCCTAAGCCGTCTACGAGTATAAGAGAAAGAAAGAGAGTCAACAGAGACTCAAGAAAGAGAGTCAACAAAGACTCAAGAAAGAGAGTCAATAAAGACTCAAGAGAAAGAAAGAGAGTCAAGATAGACTCAAAAAAGTAAGAAAGAGACCTCCACAGAAAGTACTCTATTTTATAAAAGATTGTATGAGTATGAGTATATTATTGCACTAGATTGCATAAGATTATGATTATATTGTTGCACAAGATTTCATGAGTATGAGTATATTATTGCACTAGATTGCATAAGAGTATGATTATATTGTTGCACGAGATTGCATATGAGTATGAGTATATTATTGCACTAGATTGCATAAGAGTATGATTATATTGTTGCACGAGATTGCATATGAGTAGTATATTATTGCACTAGATTGCATAAGAGTATGATTATAATGTTGCACGAGATTGCATATGAGCATGAGTATATTATTGCACCAGATTTCATAAGAGTATGATTATATTGTTGCATGAGTTTGCATATGAGTATGTGTATATAATTGCACGAGATTGCATATGAGAATGTATATAGTATTGCATGAGATTGCATAAGAAGTATGATTATAATGTTATACGTGATTGCATGCGAGTAGAGTATCGTATGAGATTTTATAATGAGAAGTTTGACTTAAGATATTCCTTTGAGCATGATTATCTTGTTGTACTAGAAGTTCTACTTATCAAGTTATGAGATAAGAATGTGCAAGCATGTGAACACCTGTTATTTGGTCTTTTAGCATGAACCTATCTGTAAGCATGAATTGCTTGATAAGCTATTTGAGAAGTATATATGTTGATGAATCTACGTGATCAGTCTTATACATATATAAGCACATGCCAGCTGATATTATAGGGTGCAAGCATCTAGAAATAATGTGATAAATCTAAAGATGATTTGAGATGAGCTTATTGCTGATAAAGAAATCAAATGCTTTCTACGTATATGTTAGAATGCTTTACAGGGTTGAGTGTGGTTATACTTAGCCTCGTGCTAATGAGTGTTTTCCTATTTGTCTATGTGTTGCTTGCAAAACCCCTTTCAGATGGGTCCAGCAGTGTGAAGAAATCGAGTTAGATTAGTCTCGTAGATAGAGATATCTAAACTATGGTTTGACTGATGTTATGTATGGATTTTAGACTTTTGACTTTATGTTTGAGGATGATGTAGACTTTTCAGGTGACGTATTTCCCCCTTATGTTTTTAGTTTTATGTTGGATGCCCGACTTTTACTTTATTTCTAGTTTCACCCCTTAGCCTGTGCAATCACCTCGGAGTGGTGGTTGTGGCGGTGACACTCCCACTAGTTATATTTTTAGTTTATTTCCGCTGCTTAGTGATGTTAATGACTGTTTAGAGTTATAATTAAGAGTTAGAAAAGTGGGGTGTTACAAAGAGTCATGTGGTTGTGTTGGTGTCGCTTGTTGATAGGAGTCGGTACTTATGTTGTGTCCTTCCCTTGATTACCTCTTGATTGAAGTTATTGTTGAGTATTGATTGTTGTATTGTTGTCCATGAGGATGAAAGATATGAGATTGGCGGTATAAAAATAGATTGGTGGTTTGATGCACTGAGTGTGATTTTGTTGATTGCGCTACAGTGCATTTGTCTTTTTGATGTTGCGCTGCGGTACCTTTGGCACTGAGTGTGCTTTGTTCGGCGGAATAGTTTAGCCGTTGGATTGGCGGGGAGCATTGCTCCTAAGAGATAAGGTTGATGGTGTACAGGGTGGCATAGAGGTACAGGTTGGAACTGATATAAGGATGGAGAGGAGTAAAGGTTGGAACTTGGTATAATGTTGGAACATGGACGTGTTGTGTTGTATCATTTGTTGTTGTTGCCATGTCTTGTGGTCTTGATTTGTTGTCGTTGTCGTGTCATGTAGTCATGATCTGCATGCTTGTATCTTAATGTTGTCTTATAGTGTCAATGTTAACGGTGTGTCATAGGTTTTTATCCTGATTTTAAAGCTAGCGTTGTTTAGGACTATATCTATGTATTCCCAAGTCTCAAAATGGTTTTCCTATATTTATTTTTATTGTACTCAACGCGTGGGAGTGGGTTACTTAACATTATTCGCTAACGGTTGCTACACCGTATGTTTTTCAGGTACCGATTAGTTGGCTCTTGAGCGCGCTAGACGGAGCTGTGGTTCCTGGCTTAGATAGTAATTAGCTTTAGTTTGACGGCCTATGAGCCATTTTGTATTCGACTGATGTTTATGAATTATGATTAGTTAGTTAGTATGAATTATGATTTGTTAGTTAGTTTTAGCCTGTGCATCTAGGTTCTCGAGCTTAGATGTGGCATAGCACCCCGACACTTATGTTTAGCTTCCGCTCTGTCTTGGTATTAATGATAGATTTACCCTTATTTCATAAGCGTTAATTGTTTTAAAATATGCTGAAAATCAGGGGTGTTACACGTAATAAAGGTGTCATCACGCTACATAGTAATTTGCAGGAATCAGATTCTTTAAAATCAAGGAAAATAAATGTAGCCTATGGGGGGTATGATTCTTTTTCCAATGTGAGTGAAAAAAGTATAAAAATTATTCAATTATGTTGTAGATTAAGACTTTCTTCAGTAGTTCGTCTTCAGTGATCTCTGGTTAGAACGTTTTGTTGCGCTAAAGTGATAGAACAGAGGAAAAGAGAGAGAGAGAGAGATTGTAAAAGTGAATTGAGAGCGCAAAGGGAAAGATACATGAGCTTCTCATTCATTCAACAACTGAATCAACATAATACAATGTATATATCTTCCTAAAAACTAGGAAAATAACTAACCACTAAAAGAATAATGGCCACATATACATAAATATTCATAAGACTCCCCCTTGGACATTATCTTCCCATAATCATGTCTCGTTAAAAACCTTGCTAGAACAATTTTGTGGGAAAAAAAACTTAGTCAATGAAAAGAGTAAATGATGTATGTATAATCATGTGTTACCCTGGTTTCCTCATTAAAAACATTAGACTAAGAAAACCCAGTGGGAAAAACTTAACTAAAGGAAAAAGAGTACAACCAAATGCCTTTAAGGCTTAATCTTCAGGATTATGATGGCCTTTTGGACCAATTGATCAAGAACATCTAGAAGTTATTGCTCCCCCTGAAGATAACAACCTTCCAAGCCTACGCATCCCAATTCTGTGAACATATTTTTCAAAGGTGGATGTAGGCAGGGACTTAGTGAACAGATCTGCTGGATTGTCACATGAGCGAACCTTCTGAACAAGGATTTTGCCACTCTTCTGGAGTTCATACGGATAAAAGAACGTAGGTGCAATATCTTCTGTAAGGTTCCCTTTAACATACCATTACTCATTTGTGTAATACATGCCACATTGTCCTCATACATGACAGTGGGAATATCATCTTTGCTTTCTATACCGCATGAGTTATTGATATGATGTATCAGAGACCTCAACCATATGCACTCTCGTGAAGCCTCATATAGAGAAATAATCTCTGAGTGATTAGATGAGGTAGCAACTAAGGTCTGTTTGACAAATCTTCACGAAATAGTTGTACCTCCACAAAGGAAAACATAACCAGTCTGAGATTTGGCATTATGGGGATCAGACATGTAGCCAACATCCGAATAACCCACTAATGTAGTATCTTGGTTTTTCTCAAAATAGAGACCAAGATCTTTTGTACCTTGGAGATATCTAAGGATATGCTTTATCCCCTTCTAGTGTCTTTGGGTTGGGGAGGCACTAAATCTAGCAAGTGAATTTACTGCAAAAGCAATATCTGGTCTAGTGCAGTTAGCTAGATATGGTAAATCACCGCTAGCACTTAAATATGGGACTTCAGGTCTTAGCACATCCTCATCATCTCCTTTAGGCCTAAATGTGTCTTTGTCCACTTCAAGGGACCGAACTACCATCGGAGTACTGAGGGGATGTGATTTATCCATATCAAATTTCTCCAAGAGTTTATTTGTGTAATTTGATTGCTGTACAAAAATTATATTGGGGAGATGTTCGATCTGCAGGCCGAGACAAAACTTGGTTTTTCCCAAGTCTTTCATTTCAAATTCCAATTTTAAGCATGAACATCATTCCACAAGATCCTTGTGTGTCCAACAATGTTTATGTCATCAACATAGATAGAGATAATTCAAAAACCATTCGATGACCTCTTAATGAAGATACTGATGTTATCACATCTGTGCTTGTTTTTATAGTTATTTTAAATCATCTCGGTAATTAATTTCTTTAATTTTGCTTATTTAATACATGTTTTTCTTGCTATTATCATTTAATTATGGTTCATACTCATTTTGAATGTTTTACGGTGTTTGTTAATGTTTTTGAACCATTGTAGGTCAAAGTTATGAGTAAGGAAAGTCCTAGGACAAAATTGGAGTCAAAAGTGGACCAAAAGACACCTACACAGTACATTTGACGTGTCGAGCCAAAGGCTCGACGCGTCCAAAATTTTTGGTACGTATTGCGGTCGAAACCAGCCGGTCTCGACGCGTCGAGCGAAACAAACAAGCAGGCGTCGAATTAAGAAAGGGAGCAAACGGCCCGCATGGGTAGCTCAACTGGTCATAGAGGTGAAACTTTGGAATAATGACCAGGGATCGAGTCTCATCAGCGGCAGTGTGGGAGCAACCTCCCAAAGTGAGGGGGGTTCCTTGTGCGCAGTGAGCACCGGTCTAGCCTCTGTGGTTCATGTTCAGTTGAGTCACCATGATTTACATCCTTCCAAATGCTCTGTTTGTGGGGGGGCCTTAGGGTTGGGGTTCCGCCTTTTTGAAATAAGAAATGGAGCAACCGTGCGAATTTTGCAAAAGAAAGGGAATCGGCTAATTACAAAAGGGGGCGGCGTTCTCCAAATTCCAAAGTTGCATTTCACTTTCCAAAATCAATTGTGGTATTCTCCATTCCAAAATCAAGAAGCAACAAATATATCCCAACTTCAATTCGGTAATTGATTCGGAAATTTCCTAATTTAATTAGGGAAATTCCTATTTCGCCCCAGCTTTGTATCTACTATAAAATCCCACCTTCTTCAACCCTACGAAGAAAAAATGGTAATTTAGAGTAAATAATTAGAATAGATAATTCACAATTCATAGTTTAGAATTCATAGATTCTTGGAGACAAGAAGGAGAGAAATCAAGAGCCACAAGTTGTCTTGGAAAGCAAGAAGAATACTAGGGAGATTTGGGAAAATCGTTTGGTTAATTCTTGTACTCTTTTGATGATTTGTAATTCTTTATTTATATTTTCTATTTATAATTTAGTCATGCTTGTCTAAATTCTTTAGAGATTCTTGGGTAAAAGTGTTTATGAACCTATGTGTCTGAGCTCTCAGTTTCTTTAATATATTATTATTTGGGTTTAATAATTGTGTTGCAATCGTGATAATATTGTTTGATGCTTGTAATTAATGGCCATAGTTACTTGTTTCGTTTGCTTTGTTTGTGTCACCAATGGGAGTTGGGGAATAAATTAGGGTACACACGATTGCACCTAATGGTTGGACCCTGTGAAAGGGGAATTTATTGGGGGAATCTTATTCTAGATTGTTGCGCATCGGGAGATGGTAATAATTAGGAATAATTGAATGCTGATCTTCGATCTTATCAGGTGTTTAAGCCACAGGAGTGGAAATTCACTAGGGGTAGAAATTACGGGAGTAATTCTGTTTCACTTTGCATTCCCATACAAGTCTTAATTCCAAACTAAATATTACAAACGTTAATTGGCACTAGGTGATTAAATGCTTGAATCCCATGAATCTCATCTTCTCTCTTATTGTTTTCAAAATCCTGAACCTCTGTTTTATTTTATTTATTTTATGCCAATCAATCATCTAAGTAATTGTTAGGATTAGCTCTAATGAATAAGTTAGTAACTAATGCTTGATACAACAACTTCCTTGTGGATCGATAACTCGTACTCCGAGAATTATTTGTTTGCAAATATACTACGCATCAGATACAGGGACAAATATCATTATTTACGTACCCCTTCTTTAGGAGGAATTCACTTGATCAGTTATACCACATTATACCCGATTGCTTCAAACCAGACAATGATTTTTGAAGTTTGATACTATGCATGTTACGATCATTTTTATCCCTCACAATGGGGTTTTCAATGCCTTCCGGTATTCTCATGTATATATCGGCATCTAGTGATTCATATAGATACATGGTCACTACATCCATCAACTGCATATCTAAATTCAGTTTTACTGTCAATGAGATTACATAGCGGAACGATGTGCTATAAAAAACAGGAGAATATGTATGCTCAAAATCAATTCCAGGCCTCTGAGTAAACCTTGGGCAACCAATCTCGCTGTATATCTAACCACCTCATGGTTTTCATTCCTCTTCCTTACGAACACCCACTTGGATCTTACTAGGATCACACCTTTCAAAGTAAGTATAGTGGGACCAAACACTTTCCTTTTATTAAGCGAGTTAAGCTCTGCCTCAATTGCATCTTTCCATTTTAACCAGTCAGAGTGCTTCCGACACTCTGTTATTAATTTTGATTCTGGATCCAAATTATCACGTTATACGTTAGAGGCAATCGTGCAGGGAAATGTGTCGTCGATGACTATTAAATCTCTGTATAAGTTTCTCATGTATCAACAAAGTGTATGGCGGTTTCTATATTTATATCAACCGGATCATTGTCATTTCCCATAGTATTCTGATATGGATGTCCGCTTCCCCAATTTTAATATTATATGGAGCACGTGCAAGTTGATTGGGTTCTCCGTCTTCCAGACGATTGAAAACTTTCTGGAGTGACTGAGAACTTTTATTGATCCTAGTTTTCTGCGGATTTATATCTTTTAATTTGCACCTACCGATCTCCCACGCTTTTGGCGATGGTGGGTGTCAGTATGTATATTTTGTTCCGTGGGGACTTCTACTCTTGCTGGGGCATTTTCAAGAGGAGTATGAGATGTAGTCACTCTTCTTAAATCAGTAAAAACATCTGGCAGGTTATTTGCAAAATTTTGTAAATTAATTATCTTATGAACTTCCAGTTCAGCCTGGCTAGTGCCAGGGTCTAGGTACTGAAGATCTTTTTCATCCCATGAAATTTCTCGGTAGTTTATTGAGTGTGGGCTCTTATCTCCCCCTAATATCGGGGAAATGATCTTCATCAAAGATGCAGTCTACGTACCTCGCAGTAAATTGGTCCCCTGTCATGGGCTCTAGGTATTAAATGATAGAGGGAGACTCATAACCAACATAAATACCTAGCTTTCGTTGTAGGGCCATAGAGGTGCGATGTATGGGTGGTATAGGGACATAGACTGCAGAACCAAATAGACGTAGATGGAAATGTCTGGTTCTGTCCCTCGTACTAGTTGTAAGGGGGAATAATCATGATATACAGTGGGCTGGAGTTGTATTAAATTTGCAGCATGTAATCCTGCATGTCCCCAACAAGTAGCTGGTAAACTGGACTTTTGAAGCAATGGTTTAGCAATTAGTTTAATGCACTTAATAAAAGATTCTGCTAGACCAATCTTAGTATGGACATAAGGTACCGAATGTTCCACTTTGATGCCCAGATCCATACAATAATCATCAAATGTTTTCGATATGAATTCTCTTGCATTATCCATCCTAACGGATTTAATTAGATAAATAGGAAATTGGGCATTCAATTCAAGAATTTCTACAACAAATTTAGTGAATGCTTTATTTCTAGTGGATAGTAGACTAACGTGAGTCCACCGGGTGGAAGCAACAATAAGGACGTGATGGGCGAGAAATGAATTTGCCTGAATTAAGACTTTCTTCAGTAATTGATCTTCGGTCATCTCTGGTTAGAACGTTTTGTTACGCCAAAGTGATATAATAGAGGAAAATAGAGAGAAACTGTAAAACTGAATTGAGAGCGCAAAGGGAAAGATACGGGAGCTTCTCATTCATTCAACAAGTGAATCAACATAATACAATGTATACATAAT